GGGGGGGGGGGCGCTTTAGGTTGGACGGGCGGACGGGCCGCTCGAACGTACTCTGGAAAACTCAGAGAGTGAGCGTGCGCACATTGGCGCGCCCGTCGTCCGCGTCCTGTCCGGTCTTGCCGCGCCGCTGGGCGCCCGTCTGTCGTGTCAGCGACCGATGAAACGTCGTTCGAGGTACACTTCTCTGCTTACTGCTGTGTTAACATCCATGGCGCATTGTGGTGCGGCGGACGTCTCTCTCTCCCTCGCCCCAAGAGGGGATTGAGGATCGCGGAAGTCTGCCGCGTATACTCGCCTGGGCTGCCCGTTTCGCGGGCCGTGCGGACATCCTCTGGGCGCCTCCTCCTCCTCGGCGGCGGCTGCCATTGCGGCCGGGGAGCCACACCTGACTGCAGCAGACCGCTGCTGCTGCTGCTGGGGCCGTTGCTGGAATTCGCTCCATCGGATATAAATATCGAGCGTGCAGCGTGTGCGTCGACCTTGCGGCCGTTTGTTACGTCAGCTCTCGGCGGTGCGTGCGTGCGTGCCAGGACGCATTGCCCACCACACACCGACCGCGGCGGACTATCGCCTGATTCCCCTCCCCATTCTCAGTGGACGACGCCGCCACCGCGCGCCTAAAGAGATTTTAAACTGGATTAGCCGACGCCACCGGCCCCACTTTGCGGCCGCCGCTGTGACGACCACGCGCGCGGCGGGCACGGGGGGCGGCCCGCACGCACGGCGCGCGGTAGGCCGACCCGCCGCGCAGGGCTGCACGCCGCGCCGGCCTACCCTCTGGTCGCACGGCGCTCGCCTGGGCGCGGGGAGCCCCCCGACCCGACCGTCCTGCTCCACTCCCCGCGCACGGCACGGCCCCGCCCGAGGCCCCGCCGTACCGCGCTTCGCCGAGTTGTCTCTGGCATCTTTAAAGCCTATCTATCCCCTGCGCCGTTTTGTGTGCCGCCTGCCTGTCGTTGCTCGCTATGGCTGAATGGGAGGGCTTTGTGTGTCGTACTTCGTGGTGTGCGTGTGCGTTGCGTGCAGTGCGTATAGCGCCCCGTCCCGCGCCGGGGCCGGCCGCGCGCACGCACCACGCCCGCAGCCCACATGGAGGCATTAATGGACACTTGAGGCGGCCCGGCTGCGGCGGCCTCATGGCGGCCTGCAGTCCCTGCTGCCGCTGCGGTCGCATACGCCCCGGCGTGATGAGGGGCGCGGCCCGTGGCGGGTGTGGCCCCCGCTAAAGCTTGTCGACGCGCGCCTCCGCTGCTGACACGGTGCACGGGGCCCGCCAGGCCAGGAGGCCCACGTCTTGCCCCTGGGCCTCCTGGGCGCGAGCCGCGAGCCGCGGCGGCGGCGCGAGTCTGCGCGAGTCACCGCGGACAATGAGCCAAGGGGCGCGGTCCCGTTGTCGCCGGAGCACCCCGAAATAGGAGGTCCGCCCCGCCCCGCCGTCATCACTCTGACGAGCACCGCGCTGACACCCTTTTGTCGTGGTGTTGCAGGGATGTGCGCCACGCTCCACGTCCTGTGGAGCCTCATCTACATCACGTGCGGCGCCGTGCAGCTGGTGGTGGGGATCTTCTTCCTCGTCGCCAAGTTCGAGGCGCCGTTTCTTCGCCTCGGCTCCAATGTCCTCGCCGGCGGATGGGTGAGTAGAATGCAACGCAGCGCAGTTTCGGAAATCGACGAACAACTTTAAACGTTTCAAAATTTCCCAAAATTTGTTTGAATCGTCCCCGAACGTGCTCGCAATTTTCCTTCATTTCTTTCTAGGCAATTTTCGAGCTATTTTTTTGGCACTCATTTAACGGTTTAGAATTTTCCTCCATTTTGCCCGTTTCCTTCCCTACTTCGCGCCGCTCCGTGTGGTCGCTCGTTGCTCTCCGGCTCATCGCGCTCGCTGTTTGCAGAACGTGGTGGTGGGGGTGACGGGCGCGCTGGTGGCGTGCGTGGGGCCCATGTCGTCCCCAGGGCGGCATGAGGCCCTGCTCTACATGGCCGTCAGCGTGCTTGCCATGAACGCCGTCAACTTGGCCGTGCTGGAGATCGTCGAGTGGAAGATGCTGTGGACAGAGGAACACCAGGAGGTCGCCGAGCGCACCAAGCTCACTGAGTTTCTCATGTATGGTACGTATGCGTGGCCACGTTTGGTGAGGTATGCCTTCCTTGTGGTTCTAATTCTTGTTGCCGCTTCTCTGCTGACCCTCTGCCGTCCCTGTTGCAGCGCGGATTGGCACGAGCGCCGCGGCGGCGGTGGCCATGCTCGTCTCGTTCCTGGACTCCCAGCTGACGTTCTGCTCGCTGCAGCACGCCGTGCGCAAGCGGCTGTCACGCCGCCGGTCGTCCAAGGGCGCCCACGGGCACCACGGCCACCACGGGCACGGGCACCACGGGCACCATCACGACCACCCCGTTGACAGCGAGTACATCATCCTGCCCCGTGTTCGGCCGTCCACCAAGGGCGGCTACGAACAGTACACGCGCTCCTGGGTGTTCGACGTGGACGGCAACGGCGCCAGCGGGGGTGGTGGCGGTGGGGGTGGCGGCAACTCTGCGCGCTACCAGCAGCTGGACAGCCACAGCCACGCCGACAAGTGCAGGGACGCGGCGGCCGCCGCCGTGGCCGCGGCCGAGGGCCGCTCCGTGTCGAGCCGGTCGTCGACGCAGCGCGGCGACACGTACACCGTGGCGGACGCCAAGGCGCTGAGGGCCGCCATCGCCAACGGGGGGCCGCCGCCGGACTCGTCGCCCGCGCCGTCGGGGCCCAGCGGCAGCAAGCAGTACAACCGGCAGCAGAAGCACAAGGAGCTGATGCGCGAGCGGGAGCACCAGAAGCAGCTCCGCGAGCAGCAGCACTACCAGCAGCGCAGCAGCAAGGACGCGCGGCCGCGGCCGACGTCCACCAGTTCGGCGGCCAGCTCGGGCACGGGTGGGGCCTCGCCGGCCTCCTCCAGCCGTCAGCAGCAGCAGCACCAGCACCGCCAGCAGCAGCAGCAGCAGCCCGTCATAGAGGAGAGCCCCCCTAGCGGCACGAGCCCGGACAGCCCCGCCGTGGACAGCGCCGAGAGCCGGAGCCCGGACAGCGGCGAGCAGGCTGAGCAGGACGGGGTGAGTATTGCGGTCGGAGGGTGGAGCGCTTGACTCTGCCTGGTGGTGGGGTGTCGGAGAGGTGTTGTTCTGGGACGGGTGCAAGTGAGACCGTGCGCTTTTTCTTGGAACGGAGAGCCGACCCATAAGCGCCATGGGGGTCGTTCCACATTTTGTGTGCATACGGCCCGGCCCGTTGCGTTTCGTAAAAAGGAGTGTTGACGTGCGTGTCGTGGCATGAGGGTACGCGACACAGTCCCGGCCGACGCCAGGCCGGCGCCACCTCGGCTGAGGTGCGCCGCTCTGGCTACACACCGCCTCGACGCAATGCCGACCTCCATTTCTCGCTAGAGCAGTGCGTCAGCCTGTCCGCGCAGAGGATCGGCGACAACTCGCTTAGCACGTAGAAGTATTTTTTTGACGTTAAAAACAGTAATCACGCGAATGATGATGCTCTAGATTCGTTTTTCCCTTGTTTGTAGAATTAGAATTGGTCGTTAGTCAGTTTACTTGAACTCTCTCGTGAGTATAGATATTTTTGGTGTAAATACTGTGTAGCGGTTGCTACGTCCATGTAGACAAGTAGAGTTTTGATAGAATCGTAAACCAGGGAAGTGTTAGCCACTTAGCTTTATAAAACAATCAAAAAACAACTTAAATGAGTGACCTGCCTAACTGAGGAGAAGTAGAGTGGGCCCAGTGAGAGCAGAGCAGAGCAGCCCTGGTAGAACCTTGGCGTGACCAAGTGTGTTTTTGTTCCTAGTACATAATGCGACCATGCTTCTCACCACCTCGCCGCCCCGACCTTGTCTGTGTTGCAGTTGAGGAGTCTACCTAGCCAAGGGGTGCTAGGCCTAGGCCGGGGCCTCCGGGGTGCCACCAGGCTAGGGGCACGTTTTGGAGGCCGCTTTGGGGAACGCTTTGGGGGGCGCTATGTTTTTTTGGCCACAAGCGCTGATGAAGATGGATTGAGGACAACGATTGTGTAGGGTTCACATAAAATATCGTTGAATGGGACGGGCTGGGGATTAAAAATTTGCAGCGTTTATGTCAAAATAATTTTTTTCTTTGTTTGTCAGTAACAATCAGTACTCAATGACTCAATTGTACCTCCAAGTCCATAGTAAGAAAATTAAAAAGGGAGTAGCTTGTGCGAGAAGCTTGGTTTACTAACTTTTGTACTAACAGGCTCTTGAAGCGCATGCTCTGTTCTCAAATATTTCTCATGCGGAAACAAATTCAACCTTACCCAGTTTGATTGCTTAGCTGGCCCACTTCATTTCTCCAGGACGTCACCCAGGTCACCTTCACTCGACGCTGTCTTCGGCATGCAGTTAATCGCAATGTCTTTAAACAAAGTTTTTTTTTCTGCTCCACAAAGTTCCAGATCATTTTCCCCTCATGTGTCCAGAGATAAATTTACTCCTTCCCTCTCCTCTGCGTCTGAGGTTCGCTCCTGAAGTCCCACCCCTTGTCTATGTGCTAGTTGTTTCTTTGCAAGTGCCGGTGTAACGCGTGTTACCCTACTCCCTCCGCCCGTCTGGCGCGACGGCCCCTGCGGCCCGAGCGAGTAGGCACTCCCGTAACACTCCGGTGCGTGCATTGACGCTCCCAGAGCTGTTCGCTTTAGCATTCTCCCTGCAGGTTGGCTTTACTGTCGGCTGCTTGTGCCATTCCACACCCTTACGCTCGCTTTCTAGCCAAAGTCCCGCTTCCTTGCTTTTATCCCAGTGCACTCTCACCATGTCTCCTCTGCTTCTGTCATGCACGCTCTACTCGCTCCCCCGTGCCCCCGTCATCACTGCATGCGGCCTCTATGCTTCCCCCTCTGTCACCGTTTTCGTATCTCCGCCCGCTCCGCCCGTGCCAGCGCCCGGGGCCCGAGGCGCGGGCCGGACATTCCTGGCTCCTAATTCAGAGACGGGGCCCGCCCACGCACGTTCCAGTGGCCTGCCCCCCTATCCCTCCTCCCGCCCTTCCTCCGAATTCCTTATTCCGCACCAGTGCGCGACTTCCGAGCGAGCCTGACCTGTCCTGGCCTCTTCCGCATTAGAAACTCCACCACCAACCACTTGCCCCCTCGCCCGGACGCTCTCACCCCTCAACCTCCCAGCCTCCCAGCGCCCCTCTCCGGGGTGGTGGCAGAAAACCAATCCTATCGCAACCTCTCTCCCCAATCTCGGTATCAAAGGGACAGTAGCCATTCCGTGTATTTTGAAAAATTAATTCAGTAGAATTCCGGAAAAAGTTTTTGACAAATACGTGTGTAGATTGTTTTAAAATAGACGGATGGTTGGTCTTTAGTGACCACAGTTTAGAGAGCTTGATAGCGACCCCTCTCGCCCCACCTTGAAATCCCTTTGCGGATGTTTCCAATCCTCGGCTTGTGCTCGAGAGGTGCTCTATAACATCACTCGGCCGTACCTCGCATACACTCGTGGCACGGCACGGCTCGGCACGGCACGGCACGCTCGTGCGGACAAGCGTCTTGGCACGGCACGCTTTGGGGCTGCTGTTTCGCGTGGCTCGGCGCGTGGCTCCACGTGGCTCAGCTTGTTGTTGGTGCGCGGTTGCGCCTGCTCCAGGGCCTCGGCACAGCCCTCGGCACGGCCCACGGCCTCGGCCCGTCCCTGCGCCAGGGGTCGGCTCGCATGAGGCCGCTGAGGATCGTGATTGACGCGGGCTCGAGCGACCCCGTCGCTTCGCGGCAGTGCGTCTTCCTGCAGACGTTCTCTCGCACGCCATCGCCGGGCGCGTCCCCGGCGCACTCGCCCTGCCCGCCCAGGCCGTCGGCGCCGGTCCCGGGTCAGGTGCCTGCCATGCTGGGCTTCGCCCAGTTCTCCGGGCGCGGCCAGGAGCCCAACAGGGAGGGCGAGGACCCCCCGCTCAACGAGTGCCTGGACCGCTTGGCCCGGGGCCCGGTGCGCCGGCCCAGTGTCCAAGACCACGCCTCGCCCAGGACGTCGCCCACGTCGTCCTCGCGGCCCGCGCGCCCGCTCAGCGCCGGCTCTGGCAACGGGGCCTGCTCCGAACAGGTAGACGCCGTGAGTGCCGAGTGCTTGCCGTAGTGACGGACGTAGTGGGACGTAGTGTAGCGTCGAGTAGCGCCCAGTAGCGTTGGCGTAGTGGCGTAGTGACCGGAGGGGGGACTCAGTCTCACGGGAACGGCGTTAACGGATTGTCTCTCTGTCCAGGTCGGCTACCACTCGCTGATGAGCGAGCTGACGCAGGTGATTCGCAAGAAGCCCAGCCCGAAGGACGACACGTCGTCCGCCGACTTCAACCGCCAGCTGGAGGCGGCGCTCCAGGACATCCACGACCTGGACTCATCGACGGGGGGCACGCTGGTCAACGCGTCCTCGGCGGCCAGCAGCTCGGCGCCGCCCCCGCCCGCCCCCGACTGGGGCGACAGTGACGACGAGAGCAGCGCGTCCAGCAGGACCGTCGGTAAGCGGCGCTCCCACCCACGGCTGGGCCGTGCCTTCGCGATCCCCGTGCCGCCCCCCGTGCCGCCCCCGCACGCGGATGGCACCGGCACCCTCCGGGGCACCCTGCGCGCCACGCGGACGGGCACCCTGACCAACACCCTGCGCCGCCAGTGGGACCGAGAGCTGCAGCAACTGCAGCAGCAGCGGGATAGCGCCCCGTCGGCCCCGTCCCCAGAGCCACCGCCTCCGCCGCCCCTGCCCCTGCCGGCGCCCTCGGAGGCCTGCGAAGCGCCCCTGCCCCAGGCAGCGTTCCAGCTGCAGTCTCCAGTGCGGAGCAAGACGGTTGTGACAATCTATGACGGTGACATGGTCGTGAGGGAGATGAACAATAACGACATTGTGTTTCTGCCCGTGGCGCTCCCCCTGCCCCCGGAGCTCGACGAACTCCCCCCGGCTCCTCCAGCCATCCTCCTGAATGGCTCCAGGGAGCTGCCGCCACCGGTGTCCTCCCCGTCCCCCTCTCCACCCCCGTCCCCGTCCCCGACCTCCAGCCCCCTCCCTTCCGCCTCCCACCTGGGGGATGAACCTGAGCAGGTGAGCCAGGGCTGCTCGATGGGCAGCGTGGGCCGCCTGGGTGGGCTCTCCCTGCTGCGCAAGGGGCGCAGCCGCAACAGGAGATCCAGTAGCGGGTGCGGCGTCCGGCTCAGCCAGGAGCTGCAAGGAGCGGTGCTCCAGTCCGAGAGTCTAGTGTTTTTAACCGACAGCGAGTTGGTGGCCCGACACGAGAGAAACCGGCGCGTCCAGCGGGTGAGATGAGACTGAAATGCAAATTAATCCTCCTTCATCCTCACCACGCCTCTGACTAACACAACTAACTCAGGCGCCTAACTCTTGGTCTAATATTGACCCTCCTCTTGCTTTGATCCAAAACATGACCCGCCCTCCTACCATCCCTTTGCCTCTCAGCACACAGTATCTTTTCATAACAATCGTCTCTTTTCTGGGTTCTTCTTCTGATCTTAATCATTTGCAATTATTTAATCAAGCTGTACATTTCTTTTGCAGTGTTACTTTATTGGTTAGTCATTTAATTTTATCTTGTTCTTCGTCTGTTTTCTCCTTTAGGAAATTGAGCAACGAGTCCAGCAGCAGATATCAGGACACTCTGGAAGTGACTCTCTTTGTTAGGTGGGGTGCACACCCTTCAGACACTCAAAGTGACTCCCTCTGTTAGGGTCCCCCTCTACAGAAGATTCGGTGCCATATCCCTCATGCTAGTCCATGTTAATTATGTGTGGATTTATTCTCTTCCATGCATGAATATTTCTCTTCATTAATTTTACAATCTGCCAAAAATTAAATTAGATACATCAGTATTAAAAGTGTGAGGCTTCCCTCAGAAGACTGAACTCAAAAGCTTCCTCACTATACTGATGTTTATAATCCTCTACAACTGTCAGTTGCAGAATTCAGGTTGTGTTCATTTGAGAACTGTTTATTTTCAAGCTAATATTGTTTTCAAATTATATATGTCTCTTAAAAGTCGATACACCAGAACAAAAATTATATGGAGAGTAGACAGTGGTGATACAGTTTTGTCCAGTTTTTAACTTTGTTTTGTTTATATCGGGATCAGGTTTGTTAAAGGTGGAATTATTTGGATTGAACAAATACATTGAAAATATTAAAGAGTAGGTGTTGTTTGGTTTATGGAGATGTCTCCACTAATTAAAGACTATAAACTGTGCCTATTTATGAATTTGCAAAAGTCAAAATTGGACAGTTTTCCTGTGAAAGGAAGGTCAAAGAACTGTTCCAAAGACATTAGTACTAAAATTTGATAATGTGTACATATTTGGATTTTCAACATCCAAAGATAAAGTAATATTGATAGATATACTGTTAGGTTGGGGCAACTCTTGGAGGCACTCTAAAGCTATATTGGAGAGACAAACAGTTCATTTTGGCAAAGGATATTTTCCTCACTTAACTTTGTAGTTAACAGCAATTCAAGAAACGTCAACAAAGTTAAAAAGTTGTGGAAATGAAACTCAGTTGTTTGTTATCTGAAAAATCCTTTTTGTCATTAACGAGACATGATGTGAAATTATAATAGTGAAGTAAGCGGCGGTGAGGAGGGGCCAAAAAGTGGAGTGTTCTAAATATTTAAACAAAAGAGCATTGTGATACCTGCTAGTCTCCACATGTTAGCAATTACCTATTGCCTCAAATGTTAAACTGTAATTGCCTGAAAGTGGTGAAAATTGTTATGAATTCATTGATTAAATTATGTGTGTTATTCCTTAACTGATTATTTTTACTATTGGTAATTCAAGATCTATCTCTGCACCAGTACACACCAATAAACATTAATGAAGCATGTTTCCCTCACTTCAGCTCTCATCTGAGGTGATGAATTTTACTCTCTCATTGTTACTCAGTACTTGAGAAATATTGTGTTTTCAGTATAAAGATTTGAGTCATTAATATGCGATATTGTAAGCATTTCTTTCCTGCAGCTTCCGTGGTTTTACATGTGAATGTGCCAATTCCAATGATGTACATATATATAATATATATTTAAAAAAACAATTATTAAATCAAGCTAGATTTTTTTATTGTTGTCTTTATTTTATCTTCAAGTTCCAGAACTTGAAGGCACAGACAAGGACTTTGCATCACACTGTTTCAGGCAGAGGCTAAGGGTAGTTCTCCGTACAGGGAACGTTTTTGCTTTTTCCTGTCTCAGTATGATTATAATTTTTTGAAAAAAGTGAAGATCCTAGAGCTCTCTCAACAATTATCTAACACGGCCTAATGCATAGCGCCAAGTTCTGAAACTCAGCTATTCAACTGCTATTTCTGGCCATTCTCTGGGTGGTTCTTGATTGTACTAAGGGTACTTTGAGGGTGCCCTGATCCCGGATTCTCCCCAGTCCATGAGCTACCCCAGTCAAAAGCCATACCCAGGCGTGGGTTTAAGGAGAGGGGGGTGGATGGGGGATTACCTCTCACGTCCCTGTTTGTGGCTACAAATCAGACGGCCAGTCAGCTTAATTCGACTCGACTATTGAAGACTCTTCTCGGGCGATATACGATACCAAGAACATGCTCTGCACATAATCCCTGGCAAGTCGTAATGTCCCGGACAAACACTATGGGGCGCGGTAACCCCCAAACCACAGAGAAACAACTGGCGTACTGATTGCCTTTATACAATCCAGCTCTTAAGA